TGAAACTCCAATACTTTGCCCACCTGATAGGAAGAGCTGACTCACTGGAACAGACACTGATGCTGGGAGGGACTGGGGGCAGGAGGAGAAGGGTACGATGGCTGAATGGCATCACTTACTCAATGGACATGGGTTTGGGTAAACTCCGGGAGTTGGTGATGGACAGGGAGGTCTGGCGTGCTGCGATTCATGGGGTCGCAAAGAGTCGAACACGACTGAGTGAACTGAATTGAACTGATGGTGGTTACATTTAATTAATACACTGAACACCTGATATTTGCTAAGAGTGGATCATACACAAAAAAACAATGACTATATAAGATGATGGAAGCTAACTTGATTGTGATGGTAATTGTTAATATGAATTGATGGCAAAAGGGCTAAGAGAAAACTTTTTGGGGTAATGGAAACCTTGACTGTAGTAGTGGTTATAAATATATACAGTTGTCAAGGGTCAAACTGTACATTTAAAATTAATGAGTTTTTATTTGTGTAAAAAAAGAAAAAGTTCCTGAAGAAGAGCCTTTTTTTCATGTCTTCAAAATGACTATGCTTCAGAGTTAACAAGACTGCTCTTATGTATTTAAATCAGACACATGAGTTTACATATTAATCCTCGAACAGATATCTCTAGAACACTAGATGGTGAATATACTCTCAGAAAAAAATTTTGATGGTCAATTAAATCTGGAAAATGGTTTCTACCAGAGATTCACAATACTTACATTTAAGGCCTTCTTTTATTCAGAATACCTATGAAAAGTATCTTATGAAATATAGTTAGGGAATTGCCACTGTCCTAAACATTAAACATCTTGCTTTAAGTAACTTTCTATACCCCTAATGCTCTAAAATACAGTCAACCTGGAATAAATATTTGTTAATCTGAATAGAATACTAGAAGAGCTACACTTGGATAGCTACTGGCATCTTAAATTTACCAGATTCAAAACTGAGTTCCAAGTAATCTCTTCAAAGTCTATTCCTAACACACCCTTCATCAGAGTATCAGCAATTATATCCTTCCAGTTGTTCAGGCTAAAAATCTTGTTATCATACCTGACACCTTGGTTTCTAACATCCCATAAGATGCTGCTGCTGCTAAGTCGCTTCAGTTGTGTCCGACTCTGTGCGACCCCATAGACGGCAGCCCACCAGGCTCCCCCGTCCCTGGGATTCTCCAGGCAAGAACACTGGAGTGGGTTGCCATTTCCTTCTCCAATGCATGAAAGTGGAAAGTGAAAGTGAAGTCACTCAGTTGTGTGCAACTCTTAGTGACCCCATGGACTGCAGCCTCCCAGGCTCCTCCGTCCATGGGATTTTCCAGGCGAGAGTACTGGAGTCGTGTGCCACTGCCTTCTCCCATAGATGATCCATTAGCAAATCCTGCCAGTTTCACTTTAAAAATACGCTTAGAAATGAGGCCATGACTCACTTCTGTGGTTACACTGACCCAACCCATCATCACCTCTCATCTGAATTAATGCAAGAGTCCAGGAATTGGCAAACTTTTTCTGTAATAAACTAGACAGTACATGGCTTTTCTGGGCATATGGTCTGCATGGCAGTTACTCAACTCACCACTGGAGCTCAGATGCAGCCAGACAACACATAAACGAAGAAGCATAAGCATGGCTGTGCTTCAATAAAACTTGTTAGACAATGCAATTTGAATTTCATATAATTTTCACATTTCATGCAGTATTATTCTTCTTCAAATATTATTCTTCTGATTCTTTCCCGCTGGTCATCAAAACATGTAAAAACCACGCTAAGCTCATGGGCTAGTCAAACACTGGTTTTGGCCTCAGAGCCTTAATTTGTGAACTCCTACGAAAGCTTCCTTTCTTTCACCTTGTGTGGTTTGTTTTGTTTTAAACAGAGCAGACTAGTAACCCTTACTGAACATTAATCAGATCAAGTCACCCCCTTCTCTGTAAGCACTCGATGGCTTCACCCATTCTAGTGCTTAGATGCTCAGTCGTGTCTGACTCTTTACAACTCTACGGACTGTAGCCCACCAGGCTCCTCTGTCCATGGGAGTCTCCAGCCAAGGAGACTCGAGTGGGTTGCCATGCCCTCCTCCAGGAGATCTTCCCAACCCAGGTTTCCAGCACTGCAGGCAGATTCTTTACCATCTAAGCCACCAGGGAAGCCCACCCACTCTAGACTAAAAGCCAAAGTTCTTAAAATGGTTGACAAGGCTCTGAACAATAATTAATCAGTTGTCATAATATATGCATGAGGATATTAAGACCAAATTTAATTAAAACTAGGTTTAGATATTCTGTTAAAAAAGGCAAAAAGAAATGGAAATTTAGTCTAGGGCCTTACTACCCTGAACGCACCCAACTTTGTCTGATCTCAGAGGCTAAGCAGGGTTGGGCCTGGTTACTACTTGAAAGGGAGAAATGGAAATTTACAGCACATTACAGTATCAGTGCAGTGAGAATAAAGGAAATGAAAACATCTGATGACAGAAAATGAGTAAATTAATTTAATATACAAGCTCTCTGTAAGGATCAAATCTATGTTAAAGTGATTTGAACATATAAAGACAAGAGATCATAATTTCCCAAAATACTGTGTATTTGTAAGCACATTAGGTAAATGCTAGGCAAAACTGTAAGTTCAGCCAAGAAATTTAATAGCCTCAATTATTCTGAAAGGCTCACAGGAAAAGTGTGAGAATTATTATGTGAATAAAAAAAAAACACTAAAATGTCATCTGAGGAGTTTTCTCAGTTTAAACTGTTCAAGCCAGTTCAACACACATATCTAAAAGACTAAGTTTTACATATATAAAATTAGTAATCAATCTATTAAAATACCATTTGTCTAATTACAAAATAGTATTTTATCAAAGGGTTAAATTAGTAACTTTATCATAGAAGCTTAAAGAAACAAAAATTTAAAGCATACAGTAGCACACTGCAACATGGCCTAATAACAAAAATGATAACAATGTCCTATCTTAACTATTTAGCTAAAATTAATCGTCTACATTGTAAAACTCTGTAAGAATCATAAAAACTATAGTTTTTCTTTACCCAACTAATTTTTAGAACTAAGCAGCTACATAAAAACACAAATCACAAATACGAATCACAAGTTCCTAACAATTTCAAGTGACTAATTTTCTTACAGGAGGCACTTAAAATAAGAAGGCTATCACTATATCCTCCTATAAAACCTCTGGCTTAATGTTCTACCTATATACTCAGTAAAATCCTAAAATTAATTATTTCACAAACATTTTCCTTCTCTCACTTTTAAAGCTTTCACAACTACCTATACTTTGTTTACACTTAAGAGCCACTTCTTCAGTGTACAACAAGGAATTTCAGAGAAGGTAACTCACTGGTTACCCTGCTTCCAGAGGAGTGATGTGTCCAGTCATTGATTATCTTTATACAGTTTACTCAAACAAATAAAATCATTCTTACTAATTTCTGAGAATGAATTGAGTGGGTTAAGACTAAAAGTGAAAAGAGAGATTATTTTAACTGGGTTGGCAAGAATACATCTTCAAGAAATACACTGGAGGCAGATTTACATCAGCAATCCTTTTCTGCCAAGGATGACCTAAGTCCCCAAAGACAAGCAAAATCAGGGCACTGCTCAATAGTCCTTATCTGTCAATGAAGATGATTTGATTTCCACAAAATGTTACACTGTATTTATAAAAGTATACTGAAGATCTCAAGAATCTAAAGGAGGTATAGTTCAGATTTATGGAAATGAGACTGAAACTAATTAACTGTACCTATGATAAAAAGAACATCTTCAGTAGATACTTCATAGTAACACATGAAGACTTGCCAGGCTGGTTACACTACATGTAACTAAAGAAATGACTTTTCTCTAGTTACACAAGGTTTATTTTGTGATTGAAGAAACAAAAGAGACTAAAATATTATTGAAATCAAAGAAACATTTGAAATAAAAACAACGGTATTATCCAAGGTAAACAAGTTTGTCAGGTAAAGTACTACAACTCTACAGATGAAGTGTGATCATCTCAAAACCCCTATTACAATACTTTTGCAGTGAAATTAGAAAATGCTAAGGCTTGTCTGAGTTCCTGTGCTTGCTGGGAGATGGGGGTAGGGGGTGGATTGGGTGGTGGGAAGGAGTTTACTGTAAGGTTATTCTGAAACCCCGATTTGAATTTAAAAGGTTTGAACTCTGAACAGTAAGTTATGTGTGGTGTTATGTAAACTGATAGAAATACATTCAAATGATCAAAATTAGAAAAATTAGAATCAAGTCACAAGGAATATAGGTACAAGGATACTGGAATTTTTCAAGCAAGAACACTGGAGTGGGTTGCCATTTCCTACTCTAGGGGATCTTCCTGACCTGACCCAGGGATGGAATCTGGGTCTCTTGTGTCTCCTGCATTGATAAGTCAGTTCTTTACCACTATGCCACCTGGGAAGCCCATGGAATCCACAGGCAACATAAATAATGCACTCCTACTAACACAGATCACCCAACAGAAGTATTAACTCGTACAGACTTTGAGTACACTCATCACTTGTTTGCAGTGAGAAACTGATCTAAAAGAGAGACAAAGCTTTCACCAACCCTACTTGATGATGGACCTACATTTTTCCCCTGTCACAATGATACAAAGGTAACCACACTTTTGAAAAAGAGGCCACTGATTCAGTTTGCTCCCCTCGCATTTCCTTCACAAAAAAATAAACAGGGAGCAGACTTTCCCATTTAAGAAATGGAGCAGTGTCTGTCTCTTATTCTATAGCAAATGATTTAGAAACTATTTTAATATTTTTTGCTTAAATAAAATTTTGAACAAATAATAACCTATTCTTCATTAACATAAACATTATACTAATTAAAAAATTAACTGAAAAAGATCTTGGGCCTAAATCTAAGATTTGGAAATTGTTACTTACTGCAGGTACCATACTAATTAAAATATTAACTGAAACAGATTCTGGGCCTAAATCTAAGATCTGAAAATTGCTACTTACTGCAGGTACCAGTAACTTCTTCACTTCCTCAACGGCTCTCTTCAGTTTGATCTCTGCTCTGTTTTGAGCGTCTTCCACAGTGATCAGTACATGTAAATCTTCATTGAGATGCTCCCAATTAGGCTTGCCTCGATTTTGCTCCTCCTAAAAAATTTACAAAGCACATTATTACAGGTTTTTCCTTTCAAAGAGACAGCACACCTTCCTATCCATAATAATGACCTGCTGCAATCACTAAGCTATGCTTGCACTGTTTCGCTATGAGTGAATAAAAGGTCACTGAGGTGAATTTAAGCAAGTCACCAGTCAAGGCCATGTGGCTAGTAACCTGCCAAATTTAGGAACTGAATCAACATTTTCATTCTCAAATTCAGCGGTTTTCCCATTTTGTTGCAACTGCTTTTAGTAACATTGGCTAAATTCAAGAATAGGAAAAACATTTTGCCAACAGATATTATTGTGTAGACAAAATGCCATTTGTTTTGGTAGTGATGATGGAACCATTTCATTATAAAAATAATCACAACAAGGAATAAATGTAACTATCATTTTAACTGTAGTTCTATGAGACCTTTCTTTAACAATGGTGAACTGTACAGTCCCTTTCTAACCATACCATCATAAACACCAGTTTTAGCAGAGAACATCTACATTTCATTTCCCTGGTGTCTTCAAATGATCCAGTGATCCCCAGGTGGAAAACACTGTCAAGCTACCGGAAAGATTGGCCATACTTCCCTTTCACCTAAAATATAATCATTTCAGAATTGCTTCTTGCTTTAAGCTTTAGAGATAATATACAAATATATTTATAAGTATTTCATAAATATAATTTTAATAATTAAAAACAACATAAACACGAATATCAAAATGCTATAAATAAATGCATACGGTTCAGTGCAAGGTACCACATATAAACAATGCACAATACCTTTTTTTTGAACTTTCATCTTTAGGTATTCTATTTACTGAATTGTGAATACTATTTACTGAATTCTTCCAATCAAAGAAAAATAAACTTGTATTAAAAACAACGAAACAAAAAAAAAAAAAACCCCCAGTTTTCAACCACAGCTCACATGTTTGCAGAGGCCATGCCAGGGAAAGGAAATATATGGAACTCAGACAATACGGATAGAAATGAGTTCTTAAAGTTTACGCTTCTCTGTATTTTCTACTAATATCATTAAGTGTGAAAACGCACCCAAGTGTCGTGAGGGAAACTGGGAAGCCAAACAAAGCACAGCAGCCTGTGGCCGGCCACCTATGTGCCCCCAAGGAGTGAACTCAGAGAGTGCACAGCACGCTCACCAGGTACTGAAGCTTCAAGGGAAAGAGCAGTAGTTGATGTCTGTCAGACACCATACAACCTTCGAGCTTAAAATATTTGTCTTTATCAATATTAGATCATGCTACATTCCTTTTGATGATGAGTCAAGGAACTGGGAACCTCACCGTTATCTGTATGCCAAGTATAAAGCATGTAGACATATCTCTACTGTAACAACAAAAAGCAATTTTAAAATCCAGATTTTTATTTTTATGTTGAGAAACATTGACAATATTGTCTCATTGAAATTTATATCTGATCAATTTTTTCTATAAAAACTTAAAACTTTTTATAGAGGTTTTTATAGAAGTGATCACTTTTTATAGAAGTGATAAAGTTCTGTGTGTTTATGTTTTAATGAACATAAAAGTATCTCCACATCCATACAAATAAGGAATGTCTGCTTTGGGCCAAGAAAAAGTAACATCCACAAGATTCACTCTCGTGCCTAAAAACCAGCAAAGAGGAAGAGAACAGTGAGGCTGAGGATGGGAAGCCAATGCAGGAAGACCCACGATCGTCCAGGCTTCCTGGCCTGGGAAGCTCAAGGCTGCAGCCCTGGGAAGGGCGCCAGGCCGCCCCTCTGAGTGGAGAAGACTAACCTTCGAGACTCGGGAGGGCACAGCAGCCAGAGCTCACCTAACCCAGTGCTGGAAAAAAGAGCTGCACAGAGAGAGTGGAGGGTCTCCCTAGTGACACAGACGGTAAAGAGTCTGCCTGCAATGCGGGAGACCTGGCTTCCATTCTTGGGTTGGGTAGATGCCCTGAAGAAGGGAATGGCTACCCACTCCAGTATACTGGGCCTGGAGAATTCCACAGACAGAGGAGCCTGGCAGGCTAAAAGTCCTGGGGTTGCAAAGAGTCAGACATGACTGAGCGACTTTCATTTCACTTCACTTCGAGAGTGGGGATCTGCACAAGTATTCAACTGAACACTGCTCAGCATATTTGGGAGGAGATACCAGTGGCCAGAGAAAGAAACAATCCAACGATTCAAGGTAGAAAACTTTATGATACACAAGACACTGGGACAGGTACACAGAGGGCTTGCCTCAGGAGTGGAGAATAGTCAGCAGCCTGGGCAGTACCATGCCAAGAGTGCCTAAGTAAATCTTCAAAGCAAGACCTAAAAGGATCACACTGTTTCCAATTTAACTAAGTCCCAGAACAAAGCCCAAGAATAACTTATAGAAATACGGAATATCCACCCAACAAAGTAAAATTCACACGGTGTGCGCTGAGTCACTTAGTTGTGTCCAATTCTCTGTGACTTCATCGACTGTAGCCCACCAGGCTCCTCTGTCCGTGGGATTCTCCAGGCAAGGACACCGGGGTGGATTGCTATTTCCTTCTCCAGGGGATCTTCCTGACCCAGAGATTGAAACTGCATCTCCTGTGGCTCCTGCATTGGCAGGTAAATTCTTTACCAGTGAGCCACATGGGAAACCCTAAAATTCATACTATCTGGCATCTTATCAGAAATTAACAGGCAAAGGAAGAGAAAAAGGAAACATGCAAGAAGAAAAATCAATCAAAACCTAGGACTGAAGTAGGAGACAGAGACACTAAAAAAGCATATGTACGTATATATTATTAATGTATACAGATACTAACACAAGGACAACTCAGGAACATTTATAATCCAAAATATTTTAGAAAGGCCTAAGAATGAAAACTACACTTAGTAAATGATACTCTAAATAAATTCAACAATTTAAGCACCAGTTAAAACTACAAAAATAAGTTATATTTATCCTAATGTTTGCTTACAGTTTCTAAAACACTAAGAGAAAAAACGTGAAATTAATGTAGTTGTGTACTTTCACTCCTTCCTAAAATTCTTCTGAAACACTGTAGAGTTTTAAATGCACGAACTAACTTAAAGAAGAAAATGGGAAAGGAAACAATTTGGAAGCTATACTAGAAAGCAGATGGCTAAGCAGTCAGGGTCTTAGCTGACCAAGGCAAGGAGAAATCCACTTACACTCTCAAGCTTCCATAAAGGCTCAGGAAATCAGCAGCAGGGGAGTGGTGTAAGGGTGGAGCTAAGACTGGAAAACTGGCTAACTTCTCACCAAGGAACAGCTCAATCTCCACATCCCCATTCCTTGAATAGCTGGCAATCAGCACTTCCTAATTTTGAGCTGCAGGCTAGAAATGTTTCCCTAAAGAGTTCCATACTCTGGAACTGGGTTTTGAAGGGCAGGTGACAGGACCCTTCAAAACAGTGCAGGCTGAGGTACCTAGTCTTGGCTCCCACTCTATCCCCAGCCCACACACTGGGGGGCCAGAAACCAGAAGATTTCTCTGCAAAGTATGGCCAACCCAACTACAGAAACTACCTGAAGAAAGCAATCACTGGACAAGGAGAAGAAAAACTCAAAAGTCCTCAAGTTAAGAAAAGACACTGCATCCTGGAAACAAGTAAAAAATGCCATTAAAGGAATTCAAAACATAAAAAGGAATTCTTGAAACTTAAATATGACAGTAGAAACAAACAAACAAAAAAACATGACAGAGGTGCTTGAAGATAAAAATTGAATTTTCTTTCCAAGACAAGACAGAGGTGGAAAATGGCTGAAAATAACATAAAGATTAGGGAACTAATACAAGAGGTCAGAACAACGAATGGCTGATGCCTCACCATGAAAAAAGAAAAAGGAAGCAGAAGGGAGAAAAATCATCAACATAATACATATTTTAAAACAAAACTGATAACAGTTTCCAAATGTAAAGGGCCCAATAACTTCTCATCACAATGAAAAAGTGAGGTCAAAACAAAACAAAAATCAACTAGGGGTAAGGTGAGCACAAAATGCAGCAATAGAGAATGAATACCAAAAGAATCTCTTTAAACAGTAGGAAGTGACTGTGAACAGTGGTGGCTGTTAGAAAGCATAGAAGGTATTTTCTATACCAGGCTTTATAGAATTGCATACTTTTAATCCATGAGTGTATTAAACTCATTTTTGAAGAGGCTTTAAGATCATTCTATGCAGAAGCCACCTTTATACAATTGTAATCCACTCTAACTCAGCAACAGTGAAGTAAATTCTGTCAACAGTGAATTTGAGCCAAGTCATTATTCAATACAAATATAATTTCTCCCTGTATTCTCTTTGTTTCTCAAACAGATAAGAAAGGCAATCTGGGATTGGCAAGTCAATAAAACATATCCATAAAGGTTCTCTTTTACTATAGACAAACAAGAGAGAGAGTAAAATTACAGGGTGTCTACTCCTATACCCTAGTGTACCTGCAGTTAAGAATTCACTCCCGAAATCTCTCACTTTAGTAATCTGGAACAACAACAACAAAAAAGGACACAACAAAGCAGAGAGGACTGATGGGAAAACGGAGATAGACCAAAGGTGGTGTATCTCTTAGAAACTGTGGTTGAGGCATTAATTTCTTTTTACAGTCATAGTTTAAATAGTATTTCAGGGAAAAACAGCTGAGAAACCAATGTGGAAAAAACAGCTCATTGCAAATTATTATAATTTCTGTTTTATACTCACCCAAAGAATTTCATATTAACTTGCCACCAAATCTTCCGCAGTATACAATAAGACGGCATTTTTTTGTATCCACCTATTCCCAAGTTTATCCTCCAGTACATTCCTTACTTCTAGATCTCCAAAGTCAACTGCCCGCTGACAAGTGTACACCAGTGTCTGTGAAGCACTCAACTCGACATGTCCAGCTCTTTCTCTTCTCCAAACGAGCCCACAGTCACGTCTCAGCTATTACTGATCCTGAACGGCCTTTCTGAGTTCAGTGTGAACTTTTAATGCTTCAGAACAAGGAACAACTA